TAGTAATGGAATGAGAATTTTGATAAACTATTCAACTGAACCAATTCCTACTAAATTGTTCACATTTTTTAGGATAAACATATGAGTTTTAATAACAACAAAAAGTTTGGAAGTTAAAGAATCAAAGAAAGTCTACCATCTAAGGTGATTTGTGGAATGATCTATATAAGTGTAAAGATTACTATTCAGTTGCAAGTGGTTTTGTGACGAGTTACTCAAATCTTTCTATAAAATACATAAATAGCTTTGAAACAGAGCTGCTGAACTTTTAACAGAAAGTTGTGCCCAATACAATCAACCATGTAGGAAGTGTGTAATGGTAACTAACATGAATTGACTTAAGTTTAAATTTCAACTCAGTGATTTAAAGATGTGGAGTTTACTTTAAAACGCGAAATTTCTCAGGTGACTTATGAACAGAGTTATGGATAGGCAATACTTCTGAGTAATAAACAAGTACGAAATAGTCGTCCAATGTTCTCTGATTTGCAACGGTACTTTAGAAGATAATTATTTATCTAAAATACATGTGTGAAAGCTGATTATACTGTAATAACCATTGGGCTTGTAACACCAGGTTAAATGAATTTTAAACTATTCATAAAATGCTTCTTAATAATAATAGTAATAATAATTATTATTATTATTGTTCTTTTGATAATGTAATAAGACGAAGATTATCAGAACTATTTGATATATTAGCGCAATACGTTTTGAACAATCTGACCACACACACATATGGGGGGTATGAGGAGACAAGAATAATGATAAGAGTAATAATAATAATAATAATAATGTGAACACAAAGCGAAACCTAATCACTCTGGATAATAAGCCAATATTACCAGGGTAGGTTTAAGGTGAGAACAAACAATTTTTGAATGCACAAAGGGGATTTGAATTTTTCCAGTCTGGTTAACCTTTTAATTTTACATATAAATGTTCAAAATGTATTGCGCCAATATATTACATGGTTCTGATAATCTTCGTCTTCTTATTACACTATCGAAATCTATCAAAAGGACTAATTGCTTTAAATTTCTTAAAAGAAGACTCCCTGTAAATAATTGTTCTATTCGAGTACTGGATTATTGATTCTATAATTTTAAAAAATTCACAGATCTTTAAAATAAATCTAATTCTATGATAAATGTTTGTGTTAAAACAAAGTGAATAAGGGAGTGAGGGAAATTCGAAAAATAAGTTTAACTTAAATTTTTGAAGTGAAACAAAGCAGTACTTTTTCTCCTTAATAAGTTGAAGAAAAAAAAAGTAAATCACTTCAAAATAGAGAAAAAAAGCAAACTCATTGTCCCTTAAGTTGATCTTTGTAATTTTGTACTTTTTCCCCTTATTTAGTTATATTGTTCTTTTAATGAGCTAATTAATATAATTGTCCATGATCAATCGTTAACTTCAGTGAAAAAAAACAACAAATAGATTGATATCACCATATATATATATATGAGCAATGATTCGACGACACCTATGATCAAATACTAGTAACCTACGATTATACTCTACTCGTATCGGTCATGTTTCACTGCCATAAAGTAGGACGGACCGAACTGCTACGCAGTAAGCCCGTCCTCTGGTTGATAGACGTATATCTTACCTACGCCATAAATGACGCAAGTTGGCAAAAGCTAGTCGAGCCTTCTGTATCTGTGCTGAGATTTCGTTAAACACCAGACCACAAGGGCTGATGAAACTTCGACAAGCTCAACTACTTCACTCCCTATCATTAGTTCGGGTGTCGATGCAACCCAATCCTGAAGCAACATTCTGCATTTCAAGGGGGAGAATCGCATCCCGAACATGTTTGCATTGCCGCTTAGAGTGGTCAGAAGACTGCACTCTGTCAGCGTCTTCACCAAATAGAACTATGTCATCAGTATATTCTAAGTCAACAAGTGGACCTCCTGGTAGAAGTCCAACTCCTGGAAATTTAGATTAGGAAAGTGTTATCTCTAAAAGCACGACAGCGACAAAGTTAAACAAGAATGGAGAGAGTGGACAGCCCTGATGAACATTACTTGAAGTAATCAATTCTGATGACAGTTCGCCATAAGCTCTCACTCGACCAGTTGTATTTGAGTAGAGAGCCTGTATAGGGTTGGTGTCCTTGTTTGGTACTCCTTCCAGTGACAAACACTTCCATTGAACCTCACGATGAACAGAGTCAAGCACCGCCTTAAGGTCGAGAAATACTACTATTGTGAGGCATCTGAATGTGTGTCTATGATCTAGGACCTGATGTAGTGCGAATATCTGGTCTATACAGCCACGTCCATGTAGGAAAACAGCCTGATTTTCTCTCGTCTGCTCTTCATGAGCTTTTGGTAGGCGTCGAAGAATTATTGAAGCTAATATTTTAGACACTATATTAGTCAAACTGACTCCTCTGGGATTGTCACAAGAGGACTTTTGTCTTTTCTTATAGACTAGCACAATTAGTGATTGCGACCAGTCAGATGGGATTACGTTCAGTTCCCAGATTCTACATAAGACCTCAGTCAATCTTGTTGGGGTGGTCCGGAAATCGCTTGCAAAAGACAAGCAAGCATCGAGAAACACTAAGAAGTGTTTCGTCCAATCAGCGTTCATTTGGAGTCTTGGCCAGAAATATCAAGGTAGCGAAACATCACATGCGGAAGCTCTGAGTGGTTGGCCACTACAGTGCTACTATGTTTAGTAGTATTCCAGAATATTCCAGCGACCCAAGGACATGTAGATATATTATAAAAATCCTATATTTTCTGTAGTAAAATGAACCTCGGAGTAAAGTATTTTCCCTCATACTTGCGTCTTCTCATTGGTGTTCAAGTCGCTGTGTAGTTCTAGCGTGCGGGTCATCGGAATAGCTTAGGAAATAAATATAGCGTTCAATCGATAAGACTTATCAAATCTCACTGCTGATACTGGACCACCATTCTTAAAAATCTCAGAGCTAAACCTTTCAGGGCCTGTTACTCTCCCACGCTTCAGATTTCCTATGGCTTTTTCAACTTTATTAAGAGTTGGAGGAATTACATCAACTTGACATTCAGGTCGACTGAAGATCGTGGGAAACAGAAGTGTGACTGGAGGCCAGTTGAACTGATCCCTAGAAAGTTCTGTTCGTCGATCCGAACTCCTGGATTCAGAATGTGCAATATGTCCATCTTTTCCCGAGATACTCTCGCTAACAGTTGGATCCCTAATACCAATTACTTTCACAAGTCTGAAGAGTTGTTTGCTGTTACCTATTGCCGCCGCCTTTTCCATCTCTCTTGCTTTCGCTACGCACCACTGTTCACGACCATTGCGTAGGCTTCTTGTCAGATTGCGCATAAGCTGACTCCGCCCTTCGTCATGTTCACAGCCAGATGGGATGAGTTTTCGAGCACCTATCAGTACGGTAGATGATGCCGAGATCCAGTGTTTCTCCCTGACCTTGTGGTTTACCGTACTAGTAGATATCACTGCTGTTTCCACAGATTTTCGAATATCATTTCACGTTGCCTCGGGGTGGGCATCACCTACATGGCTGCCTAACTGTTTTCTAGTTGTTCCTCAAATACACTCTTAGCTTGACTATCATTAAGTAGGACCCTAAGAAGTTTCCTTGCAGTGTCTTTCCTACGTCCAGTAAGAAGTAGAAAAACACGCGCTCGCACTAGAGCATGATCTGAATCTAAGCATGTGCTCCAGAACGAGCGACAGTCTCCTATCGAGCCCCTTCATCAGTGGCTGATAACGATGTGATCTATTTGGGTCCAACGTTGGGACGTATTCCATGGTCGTTATGTCAAAAGATGTTTTGTTATTTCCGAGTGAAGATTAAATCACGAGTGACTTCTGAGACCTATTAATTGACTAATATTATCTATACATTCTTATGGTATAACTATTCAATAATTACATCATGGAAATTTATATTCCTCTTATTATAAGCTTTATTTTAACCTATAATTTATTATTGTACGATTTACTGTTCTTAAGCTATGTTGAGTTTATTGACTACTGCCTCCCACGTTCACAGTCACTTTTGGGCTTTATTGTGTACAAATGTTATTTCCGATTTGATGGTGCGTTGCGGTCTGTTTGTTTAATATATAAACACAGTGTGTTTGAAATATATGATTCGCATAGTGGAAGCTAGTATTGGTGTTCTGGACTGAAGTGTACGGGCTAGGCGGACATAGGACCAATAAGGACTCTAGGCTGCTCATACCGGTTGAACGTCATTGGTTTGGCATAGAGCTGAGATTGTATAAGTCGTATTTTGATTAGTGGATAAATCACGTGATAAAAAGCCTTACATAAACTCATGACAGTTTTTGCTTATGCTTGAAGTTAATGTTTGCAAGAAACAGGCGGTTATCTGAGCATAGCTGTAACAGACGGTCGCCATTATTTGTTCTTTGAGCCACGACACCATATGACCCACCCAAGTGTCTTTCCCTTTCGCTTAGTTTACCTACTTGAGCATTAAAGTCACCAGCCACTATTGCTACGTCAGAGTGCCTAGCTTTTTGGAGAAGATCGGAAAGCTTTCTGTAAAACACATCTTTTGCACCGTCTGAGCTGCAGTCAGTGGGAGAGTGGGCAGATACGACGAAGAGGCAACGACGAGTGACCCTATCTTTCCGAGTCCCTACTGTTCCGTTAAGTCGGGGAGCGCACAAACGACTGTCTACTGGGATGCAGTCTAAGAGAGCTAGTTCTGCTCTAGGACGCAATGCTATACCTACGCCCGTTTAAAGAAATCTAACATCAAGAACATCAAAAAGTTATAACTCTTTGTCTGACTAATCATAGATGAAAATGTGGTATATTTTAATCCATAACACATACATCTTCAAAGTTTGTTGTACAAACCAGCATCCTGTTCATTAGTCATTTACTTTTTCGTATTTATTGGCCTTTTTTATAAGTTAAGTTCGGTAGATGATTTAAATTTTAGCTACTGATAGTACATTAGTGTTTGTTCCGTTTGGATAGAGCAAAAGTGATACAGTAAGTGTATTTAGGTGAACGTACTTGTGAGTAACGGTGATTATAATCACCATTTATATACGATATCATATCGATAGGTAAAAAACATGATCTCAAATTGTGCATGCCCAGTTGTTGAGATAATTTGGAGCGAGACAACAGATACAATGTCTAAGGAATAAAGTAAATTTGTCTTATTCCAATCACAATTAATATTAAGATCAGTTAACGTAAAATGGAATGTTGTAACAGTTAAAATTATATATATCTCAAGGTCTATAAGTTACTTTGTGACCTCCATTACTCACTTATTTTATCCGATAACTGATACAATCACACCATGACGATCGAAAATTTTGTGTACATATTCCAGTTTCATTTGCTAAATACGTACTAATGTAGTTAGCCATTTGGAAAGTAATACAATCTTCTAAGATCTATTTGATTAAGTAATTAGAGTTTGATTCCGTTGGGAAAATTATCAGTCTCAATATCTCAGTCATTTCAATATTTTCATCTAATGTCATTTCATGTTATAATCTCAATGTCTCAAATATTTCATTTCAAGTGAGGATGACGAACCCAACCTACAACGAAAGTGTTTAATTGAGGAAACTGGAACTGATGATAGTGATTGACTGATACTCATGTGTTTTATTTCTAAACAAGCCACTCTATTCTAGCTTAAAGACTGAATAATAAATTCTGAGTACAAATATACCAATTGTTGATCATATTAGTCAATAATAATAAACGAAATCGGTACCGTTAATAAATGTGAGTTATTTTAGTTTACGAGTCAGTCTTTTTTTACCTTTGAAATAGAAAATGAACTAATAGACAAAGTTTATTTTACGTTTATTCTTCGTATAAGTCCGTTGATCCATTCACTCATTTTAACTGACTTCACGTGACTGTCAATATTAGATCATTGTCAATTTAAACAAATTACAAGCGGAGGTGAAATATATCGTGCAGAAAATACGGTTTTGTATATGCGAAAATCGGTGGTCTATTTGAAACACCAAAAGTAAATGTTTTTGTTTCATAATTGCAATCATGAATCGATTGATGTTAGACCACCATTGAAAACCTGGAAACACTGAATGGCTGTTTCGTCCTAGTATGGGACTCCTCAGCGGCGCGCATCCACGGCCCTATTTGCGGGATTCGAACCCAGGACCTTCGGTTTCGCTTAACATCTAGACCCCTGATCCAGCATCTAACAATCTTAATTATCTCTTCACGATTAATATATATATATATATATATATATATATATATATATATATATATATATATATATATATATATATATATATATATATATATACATGCTTAGACATCAAACAAACTTAACATTGTTATTCAACAATCATTCCACTTTAAATGTAATAGCGGATGAATTCACCTTTTTTAGAAATACGAACTATAACCGAAAATGACTTATCAAACTACACAATACAATAAACCACTTGTTAGTCTACGTTATAGAACCTATTCCAACAGCCTATGTGAACATGACAAAAGTAAGTAAAATAAAATATTTTTGAAAATTGAACCACAAATCGTATACCAAGTTTAATAAATTCATTATTAATTTATATTTTAGGTTTTTATTTATTTTGAAGAGGTTTTACATCATAATCTGATGTCAAGTAAAGAAACTTTAAAACCGGAAATCACTAGAAAGCTGTTTGGTTTTAGCTTGAGAATTAGTATCATTATCTTTTAATGATTCCAGACAGGATCTAGGTTAAATTCTTTATGTACTGCAATGAAATTATAATTCTATGCTAATGAATGAACAAAACAATTGTTCAGTGCATTCTAATCATCAGTGGTCGTTTTAACTAAAGTCAGTCAGTTCATAAGGGAGACTACAAATTGAACTATCTCCGCAAACCTTATATATTAAATTCACTTGATTTTGTTTATTTTTATCTTCCTATTGTTATTTAGGACTGTTGTTGATGAGTCTCCTATTGGCATATGTGTATATTGTGCGGACCGTCTCGACATTGCCTTAGATCACAAGCTTTATAAGCAAAGATGGATAGTGGCTAGAAGTGGAATCCAGGACGCGTGTTTCGTCCTGTTTGGGACTCATCAGCTGGATGTACCTGCATCTCAGAGTTAATGTTCACTCTAAGACTCGAACTCAGTACCGTTCGCTTCAAACGCCATCGCGTTATCTACTTAGCTACTGATTCCTGATAGCCACCTGCTTATCTAATGGGGTGAAAATCTAAATTCACTTGATATCGTTTACTTCTATCTTCCCATTGTTATTTAGGACTACAATTGATTGAGTCCCAAATAAAACAAAACGCGCGTCCTGAATTCCACTGCTAGCAATTATCCACTTTCGCTCATATATTAGTTTAGAAATGTTTGTAAATTATTTAAAACTGGTTTGATTTTTAGAAAAACCAGGTAAACTGAAACTAGAATAAAATTTCATAGTAAGTCTTTCATCAGTTACCATTTGACCTGAAATACAAGAACATTTTCAAGATAGAAGAATACCCAACAATCTTTCTGTTTGATTTCAGAATAATCTTAATGGACGGAAACAATCAATGAATAGAAAAATAAACACCTAGGTTATTTACTAGTAAGTACTGATCAACGAAGATGACTCGCTATTTTAATTAAAATCTCTAGACTTTATAAAGGTACTCTGATTTAATAATGAAATCACAGATACTAAAGTTTTAACATTGAATTATTTAGTAACAAAATGGACAGTATTTGATTTTGAAGTTCGTAATGTTTTGACAATAGACATACAACATTATTTTACATAAAATTAAGATCATTAATTCAAACTGTTTATTTCTGTAAATAATCATTTTAGACAATGTACTCTTAGAAAAAGTCAATATACCAAAACTTGATGAAGAATGTGAGGTTAGTAAGTTGATTGATTTTTGTCAGTATGGGGTTGTATGGATGCTTGAATTTCATTGAGATCAAGAAACGTTCTCAAGTATAATATAAAAAAATAACATTGAAAACCTGGAAACACTAGAAGCTCATTCTCTCCTAGTATTGGACTCTTCGTTAGTACATATCCAAGATCCTACAGCCAGGAATCGAATTCAGGACCTTTGGTTTCTCTTATGATCACTGAGCCGGGATCCGATGGTGCACACATCTAGTTCCAATCAATCCACGATGTTAATTTTTGTTTGTTTTATATATTTATGGTACTTTTTAAAAAAAAATTATTGATTACGCAATTGAAAAGATAAACACACAAAACCATGTGTATTAGTTTACAAGCTGATAGTGTTTGTTTTTACTGGATATATATACATATACAGAGTACTCAAAATAGTATTAAAGGATACAGTTCAATAGTAGGATGAATATCCTGAGTTTGTTAATTTTATGATTAAAAAAGATATACAATATTAAATGATCATACTGTATACCACTTGACAGACCAAAACACAGTACTACTAATTCGGTTGAGTAAACATCTATCTGATATATCTTGATAAATACAATCAAATAACCTGTGAACAATAAGAGTAGATAATTTCATACATTTTTCAGGTAATCGAAATATCGAACCATTGATAGATTTATTGATCAAAAGAAAGAACATTAGGTTAGGCTAATAGCTATCTTACATAAATACGTCAACAGTATTATTGAGTGTAGGTCAGTCAGTTATAATCAACGTAAAATTTGCCATAAGTGTACGTTAGCACAAGTTGCTAGAACACATCAGTACAATGATATTGTATTACAAAAAGTAGTATTTAAAAAGAGCTACAAGTCGATCCAGAGAAAAGTGTCTTCGACTAAGTGAACTATGAAAGATCGTTACAGTGAAAAGATAAATTCAAAACTGTAGACAATAAATGAGGAAATATTGAGTAATATAAATAGGTTTTCCCAGAGTCTAAATCACTTTCAGTGGAGTCGCATTGGATAAGTGATATATGCAAATGATGTGATTTATTTTTAAAGGGGGTTACTTAAAATCAATGTCAATTACTATTGTATCAAGCTAAATAATCAATCACGTTTCGTACCAAAATAAAGAAACATGCTGAAATTAAATGGTATGTCACAGAATAAAACTTGTAGTTTACATAGACAAGTGTAAGATATATTAACATAGAGTGCGCAATTCGTATACAATTTCTGAAATAGTTTTATGTTTAGACTTCTTGAAATGTTTAGCTGAATATTGTAAATGAAATCCAAGGCTACTTTGGAGCCAGGTACATAGGCCGTTCATCAAGGCATCTTAAATAGTGTGATAACATCTAGGATGATTTATTAAAGTACAATGAAAACCAGTTATATTAATTCATTTTTTAATAGGTTGAGAATTTCGGATATTCATGCTTAAACAAAGATGGATAGTGGCTAGCAGTGGAATCCAGGACGCGCGTTTCTTCCTGTTTGGGACTCGTCAGCTGGATGTAAAAACAATACCAAGTGAATTAAACTTCACCCCATTGCACAAGCAATTGACTATCAGGACTCAGTAGCTAAGTGGATAACGCGACGGAGTTTGAAGCGAACGGTACTGAGTTCGAGTCTTAGAGTGAACATCAACTCTGAGATGCGGGTACATCCAGCTGACGAGTCCCAGACGGGACGAAACACGCGTCCTGGATTCCACTGCTAGCCACTATCCATTTTTGCTTATAATGCTTGTAAATTAAGGCAATATCGAGGCATACGCACAGTATGCACATATGCCAATAAGAGACTGATCAATTTCAGTCCTAAAAACATCAATGGGAAGATTCAAGTAAAAACAATACCAAGTGAATTCATGCTTAAAGTTTTTATTTGATATCATCAACTCTCCATTTATATTTGTTAATAATCAAATACTTTTAGTCTTGATCACTTTGTAGAATACTGACCTTAAAACAAGTCATTAAAACTCAATAAGTAGTCGTTTATATGATATGTTTTCTGAACTGAATGATTTAATTACTATATTTCTAGATAAAATCACTAACGTATACTTAGAACAGGAATAATTGATTATTAGGATTACTCTATAAATTCATTTTTGTGTTGATTGTTTGAATCTTCCCATTGATGTTTAGGACTGCAATTGATCAGTCTCTTATTGGTATATATGCATCCTGTGAGGATTGCCTCGATATTGTAATACCTTATAAATATTTAACAGTTTCTGATAACATGAAATTCAATTAAATAATTAACTACAACTCTAAAATAAAGTTTAACAGTCTTCTACACAAATGAAACTTTCTAATGATAACTAACATTTATATGTCATATTGTAATATGTGCTACTTGTATGGACAGATATAAGTAGTATGTATCAGGAATTAAAAGTAGAATTCTTACGAACAGAATAGAAGAAAAAGGAAAAAAGAAAGCAATAAAATAACGACAGGAATGAAAGAATGTTAAAGTTTATAAGGGATAACTCAAAGAAGATGAACAAATAGTGTAGTTAACGTGTTATTTTCATATTTCATAAATGCAGTGTGTGATTTTGTGTAACATAACAAATTGGTTGACCCGTCCTAAGTCTCCATTCATTACAATTTATAGAAAATTAACGTTAATATAATAAATTTAAGAAGATTTCGACATGAAATGTGTTTAATCTACCAACAATTTGCCCAGTGTACATTATATGAAAATGATGAAGAAAAATTAAATCAGGCAATTTATCAATTGAAAAGTGATTTAGGTAAGTTAATATTAAGCGTTCAATTAAATTTTAATTGGTAATAATATCATAAACATTTGTATGGGTTTATATGACACCATTGTATAGGTTAAGGACCATAACTGATCAGTTTCTTATCAGTATGGGGGTTGTGGAGATTGTTAAGTTTTTTGTTGAGATCATGAATTAATTGATGTTAGACCACCGTTGGAAACCTGGAAGCACTGGACGGCCGTTTCGTCCTAGTATGGGACTCCTCAGCAGTGCACATCCACGATCCCGCACCCCGCGGGATCGATCAATTTGCAATATGGCTACTGATCTAAATGACTATCTATTCATCATAAATATTGAACCAAGAAACATTTCCTATGGTATTCAGTTTTATTAGAACAAACAACTATAGTTATGAGGTCAAAATCAAGCCTCCTTTGTTAAACAAATCCAGAAACTTATTTAGTAGAATAATTCGGCCATTTGGAGTAAATTTTTTAAAGGATGTAACAGGATCTTAGTAACAGGTTCTAAATGTTGGAAAAGAACAGATCAATTTACCAGTAATGAAAAGTGACTTAAATTAATAGATTTCAGCCTAAAAACATATTTTCGTATTTGTGATCATACTACTTGAACCTGTTACGTAACTTTATTCTCAATGTTCCAGTTCTTTGTAAACACTGATCATTGCAGTATTGCTACCAAAAATGAGCTGTTAAGAAAAAATGAGAATGAATGTTATTTAGATTTATTTATATTATATCCTTTTGATAATATTTTACTTAGAAAACTTCAACTGGAAATTAGAAAGATCCTATCGTTATAAAATGAAAATTAGTTTATTGCCAAATTTCCCAGAAAATCTTACACATTGTAATGTGGAGTTATTCAATCGAATTAATGAATTATGTAGTGTTTTAATCAAAACGTCGGATAATCTACAGGTATGTTTAGTTCAAGAAAAATTGTTTCAACCATTGATATATTACAGAGTTGTAGATAATGTAAAAGTAAATTTGTATACTGGGAAAAAGTCCAGTCTACGTGATTACTCAATATGGAATCTGATAAAGTACTATGACAAGATAATGGTATGGAAAAAGTGCTCGTGGTAAAGACTTTGTTTGTTCTTGGCTTTTGAAATCGGCTGCTGTCTCCTCTGTATTGTATTGACTTAGCTGGAAGGAAAAGATGGAATATATCCCACCCAAAATCATTTCTCAGTAACCTAAATATCATAATCAAATCATCTCTTAATCCATGTTCTAAATTATCAAGCAGCAATATGCGTGATAAGACACACAACTCAGGAACTGATCTGGTAGATGTCTTCTGTACTTTTTTCATGATATCTGAGTCACTTCCCAATTTAAAACTCCCTAGGGTTATATGAATGGTGTTAATTATATATGTATGCAGCACGGTCAAAGTAAATCTTAATCATAAACGGCTCCAAACCCCTTTGCTCCAACCAAAAGACAGTGATCTGTGGTCTTAAGGCCACGACTAACTATGATTTGTAAATTATAGTAAGTTAGAACTAAATGCACTGACGTTTTCCCAATATTATTGTTATTGCCATCTGCGTGACTAATGTGTATATAGATACACTCAGACACATCAGCAAACACAAACCATAACTCGTATCGGCTTGCCAGGACATCGAGGTCGGCCTAGAGTCCCCTTATATCAGTATCTTCTGATAATACCGGCCATATTTTGATGTTATCAACGTAAAATTGGAACTTGATAATACTCGGGAGTTTGGAACCTAATAGCTACACCAGTTTAAAGTACTACGTACTTTTGTAAGATTCATTCAAAATCTTGGACGATTGAGTGATATTCAAGTGGGAATAAAAGAAAATGAATGACAGACAGAGTGAGACTGATTCCCATCTTTTGCTGACCACACCAAACCAATTCGTTCACCTTCAAGGATTGCGATAGACAATTCGACGCTTATTGATAAGTCTTTCGACATAGATATACATTCAGTATGACAGATAATATGATTAAAGTCTACCTTTTTGCCGAACAACTATATAACACGGAGGTCCGTGATTAGACCCCTAGAGAAGTGATATGTGTGTAGTCCTTTGTACGTCAAACAAATCCAAAATAAAACAATATCTGTCCAGCGCTCTTGAGTTTTGAGCGATTCTTCAGAATGATACAAGTCTATGACGAGAACTTACTTCAACTGTTAACAAGAGCTGTATTACCGATGAGTGAACCTGTACGCTAACATGTTTACTAACCGAAATTAAATACGGTCAAATAATTATGTGAATCGATACAACAATGATACCAGACTGATAGAGATAAATGTGTCCAATTAAACTGTTAATTTATATGTACCGAACAAATGTGGTATGCTTTAAACCGTTCAAATAATATATTTTTCTGTACGTTAATTGATAATATATACATTTCGAAAAGTTTTTATAAGTTCTACCTTTTTTTTACAGAATCATATCCTGTCCTATACAAAAAATCTTTCGGAATACAAGTCAGATTTTTTAAGCGCAGCTCAATTTAGATTCATACAACCAATAGACTTACAAATAGATGATTCTCTAAAAGATGACTCAATAATCAATGATCAAATTGACAAGATACGAACATATCAAACCAATGTAAATAATTCACGAATATTATTGAATGAAGTAGACAGAATGAATCAAAGAATAAAGTATATATTTAGAAATTTGTTAAAATCTACAGCAGACTATTTGATATCACCTAACTCTTGATTTTTGTTTTTGTGAACTATGTATAGATTGTATTATTTATTAGGAAGAGAACAAGAAGACAGTAATATTTTCTTTAAAATAAATTGTTTATAAAGATTTCTCGGATTTAATTATTCCAAATACTGCAAAGAATTTGGTATATCCCAATGTTAATAAGAGAACTCAGATTGATGGGGTAAAAAAACTTATTGTCGTAGTCAACATTATAATAACCAAAGTACTATAACAAGGTATTCACCAAATATTACTGATTATCGACAAGTAAATAACTAAAAAAAATCCTTGTTCGATAGATTTTACTCCTTTTATGCAAACAGAAAAATGTGTCCAACTAGTAATCGGACAAGTTTTGTTCACTGTAGAATGCTTATTCGGCCAATACAGAGGTAAATTGTGTCCACAATTACCTACATTTTCATCTAAATACTTGACTCGTTTATTTAACCGTTTTAGCATACGAAGTGACTTCTTAAGATACATGAATCTAGTTATTGCAATACTAAGCACCCTTAAATGTTTGTTGTCGTTTATTAACATGTACACTGCAACGAGTAGTGGAACGTGTTCCCTCCCCTACCCAAAATAACTTACTTACGCCTGTTACTCCCAATGAAGCATAGGCCACCAACTAGCATTCTTCAACCCTTTTTGTCCTGGGCCTTCCTTCCCAGTTCTATCCGATTTTAGTTCGTTTTTCTCAAGTCGGTTTCCATTTCTCGGCGTAGTGTGTTGTTTGGTTTTCTCATTTGGCCTTGAGGATTCCAGGTGTGGGCTTGTCTTGTGACGCAGTTGGGTGCTTTCCTCAATGTGTGTCCTATCCACTTCCAGTGCTTCTTCCTGGTTTCTCCCTCCGCTGAGATCTGATTTGTTTTCTCCCACAGTAGGTTATTGCAGATAGTGTCTGGCCAACGGATCTGAAGTATTTTGCGTAGACAATTGTTAATAAACACCTGTATCTTCTGGATGATGGCTTTCGTAGTTCCCCAGGTTTCCACCCCATACAGTAGAACTGTTTCGACATTTGTATTGAAAATTCTGACCTTGATGTTGGTTGACAGTTGTTTTGAGTTCCAGATGTTCCTCAGTTGTAAATATGCTGCTCTTGCTTTGCCGATCCGCGCCTTCACATCTGCATCAGATCCACCATGTTCATCAATGATGCTGCCCAGATATGTGAAGGTTTTTTACATCTTCCAAACCTTCGCCGTCAAGTGTGATTCGATTGGTGCATGCTGTGCTTTATCGAAGACTCTTGCTTTCCTCCTTGTGCATATTGAGACCTAGTGCTGCTGAGGCTGCTGCTATACTGGTCGTCTTCTCCTGCATTTGTTGTTGCGAGTGCGATAGAACAGCCTGATCATCTGAGAAGTCTAGATCGTCCAGCTGCATTCTAGCTGTCCATTGTATCCCGTGCTTCCCTTCAGATGTTGACGTCTTCATTTTCCAGTCGATCACCAGGAGAAAGAGAAAAGGTGAGAGTAAGCAACCTTGCCTAACACCGGTCTTCACTTCGAACGAGTCTGCCAATTGTCCAATTGTCCATGCACGATTTTGTAGTGTAATCCATCATATGAATTCTGTATGGTATTGACTATCTTCTGAGGCACGCCGTAGTGTCGAAGAAGTTTCCATAGTGTTGTTCTGTCCACGCTATCAAATGCCTTTTCGTAGTCAATGAAGTTGATGTAGAGTGATGAATTCCACTCAATCGATTATTCCACAATGATAGGTAGTGTTGCGATTTGGTCTGTACACGATCTATCCTTACGGAATCCTACCTGTTGGTCTCGAAGTTAAGCGTCTACGCAGTACTTCATCTTGTTCAACAATGCCCTGCTGAAGACTTTTCCCGGTATTGAGAGAAGAGTGATGCCCCGGTAGTTATCACACTTGCTAAGATCGCCTTTCTTTGGTATTTTGGTCAGAAGTCCTTCTTTCCAATCTGCTGGTACTTGTTCCTCATCCCAAATCTTATTGAAGAGAATGTGGAGTATCCTTGCAGTTACCGCAAGGTCTGCATTCAGTGCCTCTGCTGGAATGTTGTCCGGTCCTGCTGCTTTGCCACCCTTGATTTGTCTGATGGCCATGCTGATTTCTGCAATTGTTGGTGGGCCAACATCGATTAGGAGGTCCGTGGGTGCTGCTTCAATGTTGGATGGGTTCAATGTGGCTGGTTGATTCAAGAGTTCTTTGAAGTGTTCTGCCCATCTGTGTCGTTGTTCTTCAATGTTGGTTACTACTTTGCCTTCCTTGCTTTTCACTGATCAGTCTGGTTTATGGCGATTCCCAGGGAGTTTCTTTGTCGTGTCATACAATTGTCTCATGTTTCCTTCTCTCGTAACCTTTTCCGCCGTCATTGCTTAATCCTCCACGTATTTACGTCTCTCGGTTTTGATGCTCCTCTTCAACTGCCTGTTTACTTCTGTGTATTCAGCTTGTGCCTTGACTTTCTCTGCACTTGTTCGGCCTTCTTGTTCCTCCTTTCTTGAACCTCGCCCAGTGTATTAACAGTGATCCATTCCTTGTGATGGTGCTTCTTGTGGCTCAGAACCTCATGACATGTTGAAGTGATTGCCTCCTTGATCGCTTTCAAGTTGCTCTCTATAGTAGTCACCTCACCATTCAGTAGATCGTGAAGAGCCTGGGACTTATTGCTGAGGGCTATCTTGAGTTTGTTGGGCTTTTCAGTATCACGAAGAAAAGCTGTATTGAACTTTTGTGGTGTTGTCCGCCTCAATGTCCAGTGCATCTTGAGTTTCAATTTCATCTTGGCGACTAGCAAGTGATGATCTGATGCTACATCAGCTCCTCTCTTGGTTCTCACATCCTCCATCGTCCTCCTGAACTTTTTGTTGATGCACACACGGTCGATTTGATTTCGCGTAGTGTGATCCAGTGAAGTCCATGTGGTTTTGTGAATGCGTTTATGTGGGAATATAGTGCCGCTTATGAAAAGTTTATTGAAGGCACTTAGGTTTGCAAATGTGCCAAAAACAAAGGTTAGAAAAAAACATTGAGTAATGCTTAGTGTGGTGCGACGCAATGAATTAGTGTGATAAGAAATGGATAAATAACTGATGAATTTGACTCTTTGAAGTTATTAAGACCCCAACAGGACTTATGAATCACAGCACTGAAACATGTGTGTACCGATCCTTAGGGCGGGCCTGATGAAGCTTTAATTGACTATAACTGGGTTGAATTGGGTCTGACTATAAGTTCGACTACACACAAAGACAAATTCAAGTTCAGTGATTCAGTTGGTAGTTTTATTTGTTTACATAAACGTCATTATACTGTCCCCCGGGGTAGGCTTGACTGTTATGCTTTACATATCGTCATCTTTCACTGTACTATGAAGTGTGTAGAACCAGTGAAAGTTGTTTACTCCCAACTGAAAGGAAGGATCTATTGTGGCAGTCATTGCTATTATTTGTGTGAACCTTTGAATGATACATTCGTGCTGGTGGTTGAATAATATATTTATTGTAATAAGGAAGGATATACAGGAGCCATGCTTGTATGACTGAGCCACGGAGCACTGATCATTCTTCTCCTGTTGATACTTATTGACCTTCACTCTGTTTCGCCAAGTATTCAACGACCAGTGAGAATTTTCAGTGCTAGTGTATGTTTAGTTTCAAAGATGATGTCTTTTGATGATTCAATGTAATTTTATTGTTACCAAAGACCTAGTGACATCGATGAGAAAGCTTTCCTTCACAGCGTGCGCTCACTGTTCGTTAGTCGGATACCATCAGCAACAGTCTAACGTGGGGGAGGACAAACCAACTTCAAAGTAAAGGGGAAATTAGAAGAGGCCGCTTGAGGTGGATAGAAAATACGTTTTAAAAATCATTAAACCACATCGAGAGGCAAGCTCTGACATGGGATCCTAAAGGTAAAAAGAAAAGAGGAAGACCAAAGAACACACTTAGTTGGGAATTGGAGGTAAGCATTCAAAGAACGAATGGCAACTAGTTAAAACTAGGAGAAATTGCCAAAACATTGTTCAATGGGAAATCCTACTAAGTGTCCTATGCACCTCCATGAAGGGTAACAGACGTAAGTAAATGAGTACTCATCCGTCGGAAGTATATTAGGTTTTCTGTGCAGCAGACCTGTGCCGAAATTTCCATCAGTTAGGCATTTGACTGGACAAATAATATACTGACGTGCTCTACATATCTCTGAAAATTGAAGATCGAAGGCTCACTATTTTGTCCCCAAACGACCTTGTCAATTCCATTGGCGCTGTTACGATGTTAGTTTGAGCCAAGATGTTTCCCGTTGGCCAAGGGAAATATGAATGTTTGGTTAATGAGTATGACCATTCACACCCAGATCCAAATCTAAGAGGAACTCAGAGTTTCCAGAACAGAAAAGGAGCATGGGATCATATCCAAAATTTGGATCAGTTTTTCTCGGACATTTACAAATATCATCAGAGTGGGGGTTTCACTGTAAGTTTAACTAGTCCTACTGTATTTCTAAGTACAAACCGATAAGTATCAAAGTTTTTGCTCGTATCCGGTGTATCCTACAACAGTAGGAAAGAGAATGCGTCCCTTCACCTTGACCCTATCTTCAATACAAGGATCTATCGTTTTGGTCTTGGTATAACTGAAACGATTATATTAACACCATCAATTCTCTCAGAACTTCTTGATTTTCATTAACTTTGCCAACAAAGTGAAGTCTCCGGGACTTATTCTTGTCACATCACCTTAAACTGACTTATTTTCATATACTCTACGACACAGTTTTTCACATTGACTTTGCAAAATATCAGTTTGCTAGAATAAAAAGTTACTATTCTCAGCCGACTCTTCACCAACTGACACTATATTCACAGCTAATTGTATCAAAACCATTATACAAATATTATTTTTATTGAATTTATACATCCGATCCCTGTTGCCTGTTAACCTATATTGACATCCTGATGCCCTATAAATACTGAAGAAAGTTTGGTTTTACCTTGTTTAAGTACACATTTACCGTTGATGCTAATTTCGCCAACTCACTATTCGTTATAATTCATTGTATTGATGCTAAAATTGTGACTAACTAGTCATTCACATATTTGCCTATCTATATTTAAGTAGTAGGAAAGGTTACCCGCCGTAATTGACGTAGGCCGTTATCGTATATTCAACCCACTGACATCAGGAAACGTGTCGGACAAATCCTTCGATTATTGTTACCCATATTAATAATCTTTAAAAACGTCTGAAGAACTAAATGGAGCACTTTATTACGTAGAAAGACGTATCCATTGCTCCAATCATTAAAACCAACCCATCCTAAATGGGTAATATCAACTTATCTTTCTAACCAAATGTCTTATAGTAACTCCATGTATTAAAGTGCTATCGGACTAAATGATCTGTCTTTATAAGGCTAGATAGGGTTGTTCGCTTGCGTTATTCCCCCTTAATTTTCTCATGGACAATGTTCTGGAAACAACCTTAATGGAACTATTTGGTAGTAATAATTTGGATCCAAGTCCTAATAGGAAGTGCTTTGTATATGGGTTATTTTATTTTGCTGTATAATCACACAGGCTATCCTCTTTGCACTTAGTCCGTTAAAAGCATCAGTTAATATGACATACACTTAGAACTGTCCGAGTGTAAAGCACTTCTACAGAATGAAAAGAAGACTTCTTGCTCTGAAATTTATTGGTTAGCATTTAAGAATATTCAAGTAGATCGTGCACCTGGATAATTTTTGCGACTGTTAGTGATTATGACACACAAAATAAATACACTTAACAAGGTCAAAGTGAGTTAGACCAACTGTGGCTATCCCTGTCGCGATATCATTCTGAATTATATCGTTACAGTCCAAACAGTACTTCTTAGTTCTTATGAGAACTCTAATAAAAGAATGTTTTACAACTCTGTATTTTGTCAGTGAATCGAAGAAAGTACATCCACTCTATGTCGATATCATGTACTTGATACTGAGGTTATACAGCGTATATTTTCACGTAGTGGCAGCTGATGATGAGTCTTAAAGAAAGCTTTCTGACCTCTTCCAAAATGTTAGGCGCTCTGATGTAGTAATAGTGGCTGGTGACTTTAATGCTCAAGTAGGTAAACTAAGCAAAAAGGAAAGACACTTGGGTGGATCTTATGGTGTCGTGGCTCAAAAAACAGATAATGGCGACCGTCTGTTACAGCTATGCTCAGATAACCGCCTGTTTCTTGCAAATACTAACTTTAGGCATAAGGAAAAAAATCTTTTGACATGGCGACCCTCGAATTCGTCACAACGTTGAACCCAAATAGATCACATCGTTATCAGCCACTGATGAAGGGGCTCGATAGGAGACTGTCGCTTGTTCTGGAGCACATGCTTAGATTCAGATCATGCTCTAGTGCGAGCGCGTATTTTTCTACTTCTTACTGGACGTAGGAAAGACACTGCAAGGAAACTTCTTAGGGTCCTACTTAATGATAGTCAAGCTAAGAGTGTATTTGAGGAACAACTAGAAAACAGTTAGGCAGCCATGTAGGTGATGCCCACCCCGAGACAACGTGAAATGATATTCGAAAATCTGTGGAAACAGCAGTGATATCTACTAGTACGGTAAACCACAAGGTCAGGGAGAAACACTGGATCTCGGCATCATCTACCGTACTGATAGGTGCTCGAAAACTCATCCCATCTGGCTGTGAACATGACGAAGGGCGGAGTCAGCTTATGCGCAATCTGACAAGAAGCCTACGCAATGGTCGTGAACAGTGGTGTGTAGCGAAAGCAAGAGAGATGGAAAAGGCGGCGGCAATAGGTAACAGCAAACAACTCTTCAGACTTGTGAAAGTAATTGGTATTAGGGATCCAACTGTTAGCGAGAGTATCTCGGGAAAAGATGGACATATTGCACATTCTGAATCCAGGAGTTCGGATCGACGAACAGAACTTTCTAGGGATCAGTTCAACTGGCCTCCAGTCACACTTCTGTTTCCCACGATCTTCAGTCGGCCTGAATGTCAAGTTGATGTAATTCCTCCAGCACTTTACGAAGTTGAAAAAGCCATAGGAAATCTGAAGCGTGGGAGAGTAGCAGGCTCTGACAGGTTTACCTCTGAGATTTTTAAGGATGGTGGTCCAGTATTAGCTGTGAGACTGACTTATGTCTTATGCAGAATCTTGGAACTGGACGTAATCCCATCTGACTAGTTTCAATCAATGATTGTGCCAGTTTATAAGAAAGGACATCCTAAAAGCCCTATATACAAACACCACAAGCAGAGTGAGGGTATACAACCACCTTTCTCCACTGTCCCATTCAAACAGTGGGGTTAGACAGGGTTCCCCAATCTCACCATTCCTCTTCAACTTTGCCATCGATGACATTCTGGAAACGGCTCTGATGGATGTAAGTAATGGCGATCTAGATCTATTGCCTGGAGGAAGACTCATCGACCTTGAGTATGAGGATGATATTGTCTTACTGTGCGATAATGCCAAAGCCATGCAATCCACACTCAATCAGTTTGCAATCAATGTCCGTAGGTATGGTATGTGCTTTGCACCTTCGATGTGCAAAGTACTTCTACAAGACTGGCAGGATTCTAATCCTGTACTCACTCTGAATGGTGAGCAGATGTAGTCAATAAGTTCGTGTATTTAGGTAGCTGCACCAGTGCTGGTGGTGGCGTGAGTGATGAGATCGATTCACGTATAGTGAAAACCAGAGCGGCTCATGCCAATCTGGGCCACCTTTGGCGCCTTCGTGATGTCAGTCTGACTAAAAGATCGGATCTACAGCACGTCGGTGAGATCAGTTTTGCTCTATGCTTGTGAAACCTGGCCTCTCCGAGTTGAGGACGTTAAACGACTCTCTGTTTGATCATCGTTGTCTCCGAAGGATTGCTGAGGTCCAGTAGCAACACCATGTCAGTAATGCAGAGGTTCGGCATCGTGTGTTCGGGCACAGAGATGGTAATGCAATCGATGTCACCATCTTGAAACACCGACTTCGGTGGCTTGGACATGTTCTACGAATGTCGTCCAGGGAATTCCACATCGTGTATTATTTGCCGACGCTGAGACTGGTTGGAAAAAGCGGAGAGGTGGTCAGTATATGACATGATGTCGTGGGATGAAAGAAAGCTGCAAAGGACTGGCTTGTGTTGGTCCTTCACGACTCCCTGGCTGGGGTTCTAGAGATGGTGCAACACAGTGGCTAGAGACGTTATCAGATATGGTTCAGAATAGAAGCCAGTGGCGATCCTGCTGTAACCTTCTTTTACTTTCATAAAAAAATGATTGTAACTTCCTTAACTGGAAGATTTCTTCTGGTTGTACCTTTCCGTTTCCCCCACTATTATTATCATTAATATTACACTACCATACACTAATCTGTGGTCGTTATTGTTCACTTTTTTCCTTCTCTCTTATACGCACCTTACATTCTTTTTCTCTTCCCATTCTCATTGTTATTGTGTGGCGCGTATATACCTGGTGCCCCCTTATACCAATATTTGTGTTCAAATAAATAAACGACGCAACCCGATCCTGAAGCAACATTCTGCATTTCGAGGGGGAGAATCGCATCCCGAACATGTTTGCATTGTCGTTTAGAGTGGTCAGAAGACTGCATTCTGTCAGCGTCTTCACCAAATAGAACTATGTCATCAGTATATTCTAAGTCAACAAGTGGACCTCCTGGTAGAAGTCCAACTCCTGGAAATTTAGATGAGGAAAGTGTTATCTCTAAAAGCACGTCAGCGACAAAGTTAAACAAGAATGGAGAGAGTGGACAGCCCTGATGAACATTACTTGAAGTAATCAATTCTGATGACAGTTCGCCATAAGCTCTCACTCGACCAGTTGTATTTGAGTAGAGAGCCTGTATAGGGTTGGTGTCCTTGTTTGGTACTCCTTCCAGTGACAAACACTTCCATTGAACCTCACGATGAACAGAGTCAAACACCGCCCTAAGGTCGAGAAATACTACTATTGTGAGGCATCTGAATGTGTGTCTATGATCTAGGACCTGACGTAGTGCGAATATCTGGTCTATACAGTCACGTCCATGTCGAAAACCAGCCTGGTTTTCTAATCTGCTTTTCACGAGCTTGAGTTAGGCAATAATGGGGATCCAATAGATTAGTGCTGCCTCAGCTCTAGCGCTTAGTGCAACACCAACGCCAGCAAGACCGGACGAAGATGCCACAGGGTCCCGGATAAACGCACGTAAAACAAGCCTTTTGAAGCAACAAATGGAGAGCGAATTTGTAGTACTTCACCATAGTCTTGTATACGGGTTTCGGATAGACAGCAGACTTTGACATTAAGACTTTCTAAAGACATAGCCAGCCCAATCTGTTCGATCTGCATTATTGTGCGAACGTTGAAGGAAGCAAGTTTGAATGGTGCACGTGATTTCACAAAAGCTGTTTCAGTATTCGTATTCAGTGGTAGCATTCAATTTCCCACCCGTCAG